TAGCTCCCCCACCCCCCAACAGGCCTTGGTGTGTGATGTTCCCCTCCCTATGTCCACGTGTTCTCATTGTTCAACACCCACTTATGAGTGAGAACATGTAGTGTTTGGTTTCCCGTTCTTGTGTCAGTTTGCTGAGAATGGTTTCCAGCTTCATCCTGTCCCTGCAAAGGACATGAACTCATTCTTTTATATGGCTGCATAGTATTCCATGGTGTATATGTGCCACATTTCTTTATCCAGTCTATCACTGATGGGCATTGAGGTTGGTTCCAGGTCTTTGCTATTGTAAACAGTGCCGCAGTGAACAGACATGTGCATGTGTCTTTATAATAGAACGATTTATAATCCTTTCGGTATAGACCCATTAATGGGATTGCTGGGTCAAATGGTATTCCTATTTCTAGATCCGTGAGGAATCGCCACACTGTCTTCCACAATGGTTGAACTAATTTACACTCCCACCAACAGTGTAAAAGTGTTCCCATTTCTCCATATCCTCTCCAGCATGTGCTGTCTCCAGATTTTTAAATGATTGCCATTCTAACTGGTGTGATACGGTATCTCAATGTGGTTTTGATTTGCATTTCTCTAACGACCAGCGATGATGACCTTTTTTCCATATGTTTGTTGGCTGCATAAATGTATTCTTTTGAAAAGTGTCCGTTCATATCCTTCACCTACTTTTTGATGGGGTTGTTTGTTTTTTTCTTGTAAATTTGTTTAAGTTTTGTAGATTCTGGATATAAGCCCTTTGTCAGATGGGTAGATTGCAAAAGTTTTTCCCCATTCTTTTGGTTGCTGGTTCACTCTAATGATAATTTCTTTTGCTGTGCAGAAGCTCTTAAGTTTAATTAGATCTCATTTGTCTATTTTGGCTTTTGTTGGCATTGCTTTTGGTGTTTTAGTCATGAAGTCCTTGCCTATGCCTGTGTCCTGAATGGTATTGCCTAGGTTTTCTTCTAGGGTTTTTTATGGTGTTAGGTCTTAAGTTTAAATCTTTAATCCATCTGGGGTTAATTTTTGTATAAGGTATAAGGAAGTGGTCCAGTTTTAGCTTTCTGCATATGGCTAGCCAGTTTTCCCAACACTGTTTATTAAATAGTGATTCCTTTCCCCATTGCTTGTTTTTGTCAGGTTTGTCAAAGTTCAGATGGGCGTAGTTACTTCCTAAGCACCAGAGGAGTCTTTCTAAACTGTGGCTCAGAACTTGTCAGTTGTGTAAGCACCGACCCCTCACTCCTCCAAGGCCTTCCTTTCCCAGCCTCATTAGCCACTGTGCCCTCTTTCTTGCACACTTAGGCATCCTCCATGCCTAACCCTCCTTCACTCAGCATTTGCTTGATGCTGGGTCCTGGGTAAGACAACTCTCAACCTCTGGTTTCCTCTGGTGCTGTCTTCTGAGCACACTGTGAACTTCCTTGCTGGTGTGGGTGCTTGTGCTGCCTCTCCCATGGGAACACCCTTTTCAACCCAGAAGCCACTCAGCTTGTCAGGGCCCAGGTCACCCCATGAGGCCAGCTGGCAAGACTTATTCCTAGGGACTGACCCACCACAGCTCTCCACCATTGGCTGGGTGGGTCTGGAGCTCCTGTGAGGTTGGGCATGTTGATGGGCTGTGTCCGCTCTGGACTAAGAGGCCTATGAGGATGGCTGAGACCACAGTGCAAATGTGGCCCTCAATACATACATGTTGGATGAAGAAAGTTCTGTGTCACCGGGAGCTCGGTGGGGTTTAGTATCCTTGCTCTACACTAGAACAGTGATGACAGGACAATTATTGTGAGCTCCTACTGAGACAGGAGAATAGGGTCTGGAGACAGGGAACTGTAGGCCAATCTGTGCTAACTTCCTAAAAGAGAAAACACCAAGGTCTGGGGCAGGAAATCTAAGGTCAATTCACTCTGACTTCCCAAAGCTGGATCAAAAGGAAAACACCTGGGTCTGGGGGCAGGAAACCTAAGGCCAATTAACACAAACTTCCTAAAGCTAAACCAAAAGGCAACCCCATCTCTCCAGGCTGAGTAACAAAGGATCAGAGGCTACTCTCCCTACACCCATCCCCCTTCCACCACATCTCAGGTGGAAAGGGAGGGTGCCTAGGATTGGCCATGGGTCAAGCAGGGACCATCCCTTCTTCATCTGCATGGGGTGCCAGTTCACCTCAGCCTTTAGCCACAGACAAAATCCTTCATCCAGATAAGGGGAAGCCGATAAGAACCTCAAGTGGGGGTTTGAGAAAAGAAAACTTTGTAACTGAGCCCCTGAGCCACTTGCTCGGTCCCACTCCCACTGTGCGGAGAGCTTTCTCATTTTAATAAATTCCTGTGTCACTGCTTTGTTCCTGCATTTCATTACTCTGCTACTTTGTACATTTTTGTTCAATTCTTTGTTCAAAACGCCAGTGACCTGGACAACTCATAGTCAAGGCGCTGTGCTAAGTGCTCTGCAGTCTGTGTCATTTACTGTACACACCCATCTCTTTTTAAATTGTTGTTCTACACTCCTCACTGCATAAATGCGCAGGATGAAAAGGGGTAAACCCATTTTGGAATCTCTTGGAAATGCAGGATTTCTTCCGGACTGCTTCCTAAGCATGATGAGTCTTTCTGTTCTCATGATGCTGTACGACAGTATTTTTCATCTCTCTCTCTCTCATATAGCCCTGCCAGGCAAGAAGGTCAGGGGGAAGGTAAGAGATGATTGAAGCAATCTGTAAAGCTCTTATTGTTCAGTGGGCCATGCTGGTTTTATAAGGATGGAGGAAAAAGAGAATGAGACATCTGGAGAGGTGCAGGAGAAGGCATTGTGACCTTGGTGTTTCAGAACTGTTCCTGAAAGCTTTCTCCTCTTGCTGAAGGAAAACACCCCATGCTGCCTTTGCAAGCTTCTGCAAGTTTCGTGTATCCAAAATGGTGGCCACGCCTGAGACCGTACCTGACCCCACTGACTACGGGACAGAGGGGGTGGCCCCACCTTCTCGGTGTTCCCCACAGAGCACCTCCAGGTGTCCTGTGTACCTGTCATGTGCAAGCCAAATTGTCTGCAAGGGAAATCAAGGATGGAACTGGATTATATAGCCTGTACTGTAAAACCTGTACAGGTGCTACAGTGGGAGGCCACAGTGTGGACCCCTTAACCTGTGCTGCCTGACTTAGGTACACCGTCTTGTGTTGCCCAAACTATGCTACGCTCTAAGTTTGCAGGGGGACCATGTGTACGCTTGGGTATAGTACATCCTATATGTCCTGCCTGTCATGACACTGCCTCAGCCCTGGATGGCTTTCAGGCTAGCTCAAACTTACTGTCCAGGGCTGTGTTTTACCTGAATTGATGTCCCAGTTGATTGAATTGGCCAAGTATAAAGAAAAAATACTAAAATTTAGGAGGGAAGCCATATGGCTGTCTGTGGTTAATGGGGTTTTGTGTTAACTGGTTCAGTTCAGGACCCATAACAGGCACAAGTGACAGCTATATGCAGCTCGGTTTCACCCTGCTGCGTCGTCCTATGATAACTTTCCTGTAATATGCCTTGGCCAGTGGGGTGCACTGTGCAGAAAAGAGCTCACACAGCAGTCCTCACTGCTATCTCTGGCAAAGCCTGCTGCTTTCAATGTTATCCATTGGCTGGATTCTGAGGACTTGGATTTGGGAGGCATTCTACCTTTCTCAGAACTGATAAGAGTGGCTCAATAGTGGCTCTTGGGTATAGACCTAAGCTGCTTATGCAAACAAAAAGCTGCACACCACTTTACATCTAGAAGTTTGGAATTTTGGTCATGCCAGGCAGAACTGCTTATGTGACCAGCCC